CAGTAAAAAGGTACAAACTCGCTGTAATGTATTTTTCCAGAACGTACAAATGAGCATCTTTGAAAACAAACAGCCTGTAAGCAGTATGTTTCCACATGTAAGATTTTTACATCAAAACACTGGACACAATCGGTGAACTCTTGCTCATTTTGCTCGGTATTTTTTATTGACCTAACATACCTCTTCCATCCTTGACATTCTTACTTTGGTTTCCCTATTGTACCCAAAGGGAACTTCATTTTGGAGGAACTTTTAGGTAGATACACGACGGTTATTATGCATCTCTACTATCGGTTTTCCCCGCTTTCTTTGGTAGTCAAATGATATTCCTTAGGGCAGTGGCCGCAGTGATGCGAGAGTGCAGTTTGACAGACAGACAGACAGACAGACAGACAGACAGACAGACAGACAGACAGACAGACAGAAACCACTCCCCTAGTACTTGCCTGCTAGTTTGAATTGTATCTACCTCCGTGCGCCACTCACCATTATCATAGTAGATTGAGTGATTTATTATTTAACATGGACTTCTACTGTTTGTGCGATATTCTGTACAAAGAACTCATAGACTGACTGGGATTTGTAAAATTATCAGTTTTATTATTACAACTTATTAGCAATCTTTGACATACCCAAGCACAAATAACCCATTGGTGGAACACATAGAAACTTTGAAAGACTTCCGGAAGTCCTCTGGGGAACGTAGCTGAAGTGTTTATCAACAAAGGTTTTATTCAACTGCAGATAAGTAATAATTGACCTGCACATTGCAATACCATGTTTGTGATGACCGATAACGAGCACTGGATAACTGTTTCGTCCTGTTGGGGACTCGTCAGCGTTGCATAATTTTCGTGTCCCCGTCAGAAACTGCACATACCATTCGTAATTTCACCCCAAAATAGCATATAAAGGTATCCAAAAACTATAAGTGTGAGTGTACCATAATTTGTATGCTGAGCTAATGATGTACAATAAAGATGTCTCGTTAGGTGGTTTACCTTGCATAGTAATCAACGAAGATTTGTAGATAGATAAAGCGCTAGATCTATCAGGCAATCAAATAATGAATGAATAGATAGATAAATAGATAGATGGATGGATGGATGGATGGATGGATGGATGGATGGATGGATGGATGGATGGATGGATGGCGGAGAGAGATACAGAGTAATAGGTTAATTAACCTACTGCTTTCACGTTCATTTTGATTCTTCGGTGTTTGTAAGACTTCTGCATGAATAAAATGGTCGATACTCTCTATTTATTTATTCACTAACACGTCCAACTAACTCAATTAATAAGTAAATTGGGAATCCGAGTTTTCAGATATGAAAGGGTGAACCTAGTATCTCTATTTTATTCGGAATGCGAGAAAAAAGTTTAACTGTAATGATTCATCAATCACTGTACATCTCGAGTTGTTGGAAATAAGTTGCAAATGCTCCAGTTGCTAGAATAAGCATCAACTGAAATTCCATATTGAATGGATAACATTTCAAAAACCGATCAATGAAGTGCTTGAATGTATCGAATAATTACATGAATCAATTAAAAACATTTTGGAAATTACAGTCAGTCGATCATTACTCGAAGTGCCGTGCGGTGAAGCAGTAAGCCAATGGATTTATTAGATGTAGTAAATTGACCATAACGTCATCTTCCATTGTCCGTTTAAAAAGAAGTGACAACTCGGTATTCCTTGATGAGCACATGTCGAAAAACATGCATTCGGTTTAATTTAACTGAAAATGTTTTCAATGATTTGCAGGTGTTATTCAGATCTCATTTGAACACTTAATCTATGCACTATTATGTTTGAGTATGTCTACGAATAAAGAGTAGCACAAAAATGTGAATTTCACCACTGTATTCAATAACTAACTCTCAAATGGGGAAGCCCTTCCTCAAAAATCTGCCTATAGGATATACATATCCCGTCCGAGAACAGGAAATGGTACGATAAGCATTCCACTGGTACTCCGATCAAAGGGACTTTGTCCTGTCGATTCTCGCCCTGAGTATCTAAGTTGTTCAACAGCACAATTGTCTCCAGTATTCTGTTTTAATCATTCCATCATCCCTGCTCCCTGTTTGCAGTGGAAAAGCAAAATACGCCGAAATTAATTATATAAACAACTTTAGATGAATTGCAGTATGATTAAAAGAGGTTTTATGACGTTTACGCGGGTTACGCGCGTGACATGGAGAAGTTATTCAGATGGCAAACTTGAATAAAATGTTTTTTTTATGTCTTGTCTTGTTTCGTATTGTTTTCCGTTATATGCAAAATAACGCGGGTTTTTTAAATGTCTCGTTTTCTTTTGAACATACTTTTCTGGTTCATCTTATTGCTTTTGTTGTTTTAAGGAGAAAAAACGAACTGAATAAAACTGCGCCTGAATGATAAATTACAAGATTTTTGCTGTGTTTTGTTGCACNGCACGTTTTTGTTCAACAACCAAAATTATTCCCCGACTGGTTGCAGAGCAAAGTGGATCAAAATTATAAATGTCCGCTTGGCGTGTTTTGTCTAAAGGATGGCGGGTTGTCATGTTTGAATTTGACCCCCCATTGTGCGTAATGATGAAACAAATCAACACAGTTTATCTCGAATCAATAATTGTGACAATGGCTTTGGATATTCCGTGTTGATATCATTTGATAAAAATAATTACTTTGCGTGGCACATAGTTCGGGGGAGTGACAGTGGTAAGAGTCCTCTAAACATCTTCTAAATATTCTGATTGCCCATTTTCAGGTGATACAACTATATGTTACATGTNGTAGTGTTATTTGGCTGGATTATATGTTGCTCCCAAAATATCAGGAGAGATTTTGATGGGCGAGGGAAGTGAATACGGTCAGCGGAGAGGGATGGCGTGGCGGATCTACAATGTGATAAATGAAATTTCTTGTATCCAATAGGTTTTAATTCCTGATCTCTTACTTTAGTTTCCCATTCAGATGTTCGGTATTGTATTTTGACATTATTTGCTTATTTAAAACTGCTACGGGCCCAGAGTATGTATCCAGAAAATAGAAGCAAACTGCTGGTTACCAGGTATAAATTTAAAAAGATCGTACATTGCGTAATTCTAAAGTCTTGTTACAGAGCTCTTCTTCTATGGCATACCACGGAGGCACGGTTGCATCCTCCGTAGAAGCGAATATTAGCGGTGCCCACTGTGTCCGTCAATGACCTTTGCTCTCCCCATCCGTTCACCCCAAGAGTAAGCACCTCCGTCGGGCGGACACGAACCTTGAATTGTATGTCATCGCAATAAGAGAAAACACGAGTGGGTTCTGTCCTACAAACAAGTCATAGACTTGTCTATTCGAACACCGGACAAGTGGCGTACTCCAGCATGATTGTATGGTCGTTTTATACCATGCCGATACCTTGCAAAGGTTATTCGAATCATTCGAAAAACTGTTAGTTTACATTCACCAATACTTTCTATTCTCTTTCTATCAGTGGTCTTTCTCAGTCTTCTCAGACGGCTATGGATACCTGTGGTTTTGGTAGTCTGAAAAATATTTTAGTAATTAATCTTATATGTGGTATGTGCTTTATTTGCTCAATATCGTTACTATTTTTTCACATCACGGCA